TACTGGCACAGGAGAACATTTTTTTTACAGCAAAAAGATTACACACTTCAGAATTTGTGTCCAGAGAAAGTTCATTACCGTGACAAACGCTGAGACAGCCGTTTTGCACGGGATACAGTGTGAGCAGGTGCCAGCATATTGGCAGTCATTTCTCCAAACCCACCCTCGTTCATTTGCAGCCTCCCTCACTCAAGCTTATAGATGTCATCTATATATAATGGGAAGCAGCATCGGTGGACGACTTTGAAACAGGATGTTCTTGAGAACAGGACACTCCACCCTGAGCGACAAATTGATGATCCATTAAACCACTTAATCTACAGTTTGAATAATGCTCCAAAATTTGATAATATAATAACTCCCTGCACCAATTAGTCTAATCTTTCATAAAACCTATTCTTCTTTGAAAAAAGTAAGCATTTTTATTACAAAACGTATAGTCTCAATTCTGATCAGATGAGCAACGCAAGTCAAGCATTTGAAAAAAACTCAAAATATGCATTCACGTGACTGCACAACTGAATTTAATATTAATGTGCTTACACTCTCATCTGTATCTGTCAGCAATGACCTAGAAACCTGAGCAAGCACCCAGAAAAACAAAGCAATATAAAAATACATGACGAACATTAAAAATTAAATACTATAATAGTACATAAAACCATATTAAAAATAGCACTACCTGAGAACAGGAACAGCCTAGCAATGAGTTAGCCAACACCTAAAACATAATCTAAAAAAAATATTGGTGGGCGATATCTTATTTCAGATAGTGAAATTTCACGATTATAGATATTTCAGCATAAACTATACTAGGTTAAATAATGGAGACAATTACAGAAGTCAAGTAAACAGTCAATAGGAACAAAAAAATAATAATTATAAACATAACTACCAAATAAATAATAAACAGAACAATAAAAAAAGAGTACTTTACGTTTTTCAGGAACAGTGGTATTCAGATAAGTAATAGATGACGTAAATTGAAATGTAAAATAACACTGCATAGTCTTCACTGTATACATTAAATACAAATTATTCGTTAATAAAGCTATTAAGTGATTCATTCAAGAGCAGTGAGTGATTTTCTCTGTCTTTTGTCGTTTGATTGTCATTAAAGGAGTAGTTCACTTTTCAAAAAACTTTTGCTGATAATTTATTCACCCCCATGTCATTCAAGATGTCCATGTCTTTCATTCTTCAGTCGAAAAGAAATTAAGGTTTTTGATGAAAACATTCCAAGATTTTCTCCATATAATGTAAGTAAGTAAGTAAAGTTTATTTATAGAGCACTTTTCACAGATAAAAAAATCACAAAGTGCTTTACAAAGTGCAGCCACAAAATAAAACAGTATATAATCAGTAAAATTTCAACATCTCAAACTTTTAAAAAGCCCAAAATAAAACCCAGTTAACTAAATGCCTGTCTAAATAATGGACTTCAATGGGAACCAAACGGTTCAAGGTCCAAAAGACAGTTTCAGTGCAAACTGTTCAAAGGGCTTTAAACGATTCCAGAGGATGAATAAGGGTCTTATCAAGCAAAACGATCGCTCACTTAATTAATAAATAACAAAGTTTAAGAAATGGTCGCCAAATAACAAATGGTCGCCTTGCTCTGTCCGTGACTCTCCTGTTCGAACTCATTCATCAAAATGAACAAATCTTTTTCCGAGTCTTTTGGTTCATTCAACGAACGCAACGAACGGATTGACACGGAAAAAGATTTGTTCATTTTGATGAACGAGTTTGAACAGTAGAGTCACGAACGTGCATCACAGAACAGAGCAAGGCGACCATTTGAGCTCATAAAACTTAAACTTTGTTATTTATTTATTAAATGAGCGATTGTTTCGCTTAATAAGACCCTTATTCATCGTCTGGTGTCGTTTAAAGCCCTTTGAACAGTTTGCAGTTTGCATTGAAACTGTCTTTTGGACCTTGAACCGTTTGGTACCCAATAAAGTCCATTATATGGAGAAAATCCTGGAATGTTTTCATCAAAAACCTTAATTTCTTTTCGACTGAAGAAAGAAAGATGTGGACATCTTGGATGACATGGGGGTGAGTAAATTATCAGCAAATGTTTTTTTTTAAAAGTCAACTACTCCTTTAAAGACACGAACGGCAGCTTCATTAGGCTGCTGTCACTTTAAGAGCTGCACGGATCCAGTATACTGACACTCATCATTTTCTCCCAACTGATTACATTCACGTAAGACGTGAACGCCTGTGTTTATGCGTTTACTCGCTAAAACAGCATTTTTGTGTGTACCGGTATTCAATCTTTTAGGCCCACACCTGAAGCTCAAAGTATACTTTGCTTATCCAAAACTTCGCTTTGCTCCCCCTGGCCAGTGTCTCTTTTGGCCTTAATGCAATTTTAATAACACTATTTAATAACAAGCACGTCCCACAGTTTAGAAACAGTAGATTGCATTTTACAACACTCGCTTATTTGTCTAATTTGAATGTTAAGTTTTGGGGCTTTTAGGGAAGAACAAAAGCGCACCGCTGTGAAGGAAAGGTTAAACATAGGCTAATCGGCTTACCTCACTTATCTTGTTTACATAATCATTGGAAACCAAAAATCAAAAGTTATAATCAAGTATGATTAATTGCACAGTCCTACAAGCAATAACCCATAAAACCTTAGCACATCCAAGGTGATTTTAGCAACTAAAATAAGACCATTCTTATTTTTATGGAATATTGCAGAGTTTATTATAAATGAATTACCTGTGCACATATTTTTTTTTAAATATATGTGCTTCATAATCTTTAATCATAATATCTTCTTCTCTTGCAGCTCTTCTCTTCTCTGATGATGTGGGCAGGGTAACCTGTCACTCACATGAGATCACCCAAAAGCAAACCACAACCATCCAATCAATTTCTCATTAACAAAATAAAAGCCCTACATTTGTTCTTGTTTGCAAAGCCATTTTACTCAGATATACGTCACATAGGGAAGAAATGATTATCTCAACATCCGTTTATGGGAAAATCCAGTCTTTTAGTGGGTTACTGCTTTATTTTATGTCCTGAAAGTACATTTGTTTAGTCAGATACCATTACAAGAGTATCAGCTGACAGCGTTAATAATCACGATCAATGATTGAATCGTTGCATGTTCGTCACTGTCACTGATGTGAACCGCAGCACGAGGTGTGAATGCAGAGGTCTGCACTCATTCGGGATGTGACTAAAGCTTTGGCGCGAGGGGAGGGGTGTGTGCTGTTGTGTGTTCAGCGTGGGCCGGCCCCTGGGAAGCTTCGTGAGAAGATGCGGAGTGACAGTTAAGGCCCAATTAGCCCCGCGCTGTGGCCAGGATAGAGCAGCAGAAGGACTGATGGGCCCAGCCAAGCGTTCAGCATTCAGCCACTGGCGCTGATACTGTCAAGACTCGCTGCTGCCTCAGCCTTCCTCCTCAAACTTACGCACTGCTAGAGTTCCTTTCCCACCCACAACTAGTGTTGGAGGATGTTACTTTTAAAAGTAACACGTTACATTGTTGTACTATTCGCAATAAAAGTTCTAAAAATGAACTTTTTTTTACATTGTTGCTTTTTATGCAAAGTGACACAACAGTTACTGTTATTTGTCTCTCTCTCTCTTACAAAGTCCTGTAATCATTTACTCACGTTTTTATAAATCAGAGCTATTTTAATACTATTATATAATACTATTTTTTATATATTTTTTATTTTCTTATATGGTTGTCAGTTTTATTTGTTTTTGTTAAATAGTAGTGTTTAAGTTTCATTTATTGTTATTCATACAGTTTTAGTAATTTTAGTACTTTTTTATTTCAGTTAGTTACCAAGGAAACATTACTAAGTTTCATTTCTAAGTTTTTCCATCTAATATTTATATTTAAATTGGTTTTAAGTTAACAATACCAGCACAGCATTTAACAACATTACTTTGCAGAATAGACATATTATATTTGGTTTTAATAATAGGAGTGTGGCGTTTGCTTGACTATGCGGGCCTTTGTGCCAATGTTATGAGGAAGGAGGAAAATGCATTTGTTAGTTAATTGGGGTAATCTATACTGGTATACATTTTTAAAAAGTAACTATTAAAATATATATTATTGCATTATTCCTTAAAAAAAAGTAACAACTCACATTCATTTATTATAACTACGCTATGGTAAAGGGAGACGTTTGAAATGATAATTTTCAGTAAATAAATAAAAAGTAGTGTCTTTTCCAGAATGCTTTTGCTATGCTTGGCTAGTTGTTTTGTTTTTTGGACAAGGCTGATATACTGTAGTTTGCATGCAACACCTACACCCCATAGAGTATCAATTATAATAGCAGTGATAGAGTTTTATTGCACCACACTGCTTGCATCTATATAGACACAGTCTCTTGTACACCTTATAGGGATAAGGCACGACACTATGGGGAAGAGAGATATCATATATTACATTTACCAGTAAATAAGACTAAATAGAAAACTAACACACACTGCCACTAAAAAGTTTAGGGTTGGTAAAATATGTGTTATTGAAAGAAGCCTCACAGTAAATATTCTGATATATTATTACAATTTAAAATAACCATTTTCTATTTGAATATATTTTAGAATGTAATTTATTCCTGTAATCAAAGCTGAATTTTCAGCATCATTGCTCACATCTTTCAGAAATCCTGCTAATATGATGATTTAATGCTCAAGAAACATGCATGAATATTAACAATGGTGAAAACAGTTTTCATATCTTTGTGAAAACCTGTGATGCATCATTTTTCAGGATTCTTTAAATGAATAAAAGTTAAAAAGAAAATCATTTGAACTGTCACTTTACTCAATTTATTGCATAATTAATGCATGCTTGCAAAAAATAATTATTTTATTTTATTCTAAAGTAACTTGGGTATTATAGTGCAATTTCAAAACCGAACTGTGCATTACTTGTTACGCTTCACACACAACCTCTCGTGAGAGGAAGTCTCATGCTCTTTAACCTGTGGTTCGTCAGCTCTTACCTCGTCCCATTCGGAGGCAAACGAGGGCATCTGCTCCGTTTCCTTCCTCTCATCAGCACAGTTGGACAGGGATTCGCTCCGGCCACCCAGAGGCCTGTCGTCCTCACAATGAGGGGAAGCCAGCAGGTCGGAGTCTGATTTAGAAAGGCTGCATGACAACTTCAGATGCCCAGGTGGTTTCCTCAAAGCTTGGGGTGACGGCGAGAACGACCCATTGCTCTCGTTCTGGTCCAGGCGGGCCGCCTGTGCATTGGTATGATGAGCGTCCGGTGTGGGATAAGACATTCCTGGGTTGGCGTTCCGGGTTTTTCTGTCTGGAACAGCAGAGCATGCAGGGGTCTGTCTGGGGATCTGGACACAAATCCTCTTTACCTGCAATAAGCAGACTATTAGTCCTTGTCCACCTGGTATTATTCAGTGTAAGCCTGTATTATCCATCGAATTAAACTTCAACTTAATAGCCTCCCTGATCTACAGCAGAACTATCAGTTTAAGCACTCGTGGTACTAGTGTTTTTAAACCGGGGAGGGTGTAGGTGCCTGATCTACATTGTCACAGGGTTCCACCCACAGTTTGTGTTCCTTTACCCTCCCCTTGCCAAGAAACACTGGGTTTTTTGAAAGACTCTTTCCTTCCCCTCCCTCCCTCCCTGCCTGTCTGTTTTAGTCACTACCAAAGTCACTATAGACGCCCCGGTTCTCAGCAGAAAGCTTGCAGCCTAAAACAGCCCTAAAACAATTGATCGCAAATCATTCAACAGCATAGACTACAATGTGCATTATAGAGCTTGAAATAACAGCAAAAGAAAAAAAGTTAGAGTTCACCCAAATGTGAAAAATCTGTCATCATTTGCTCACGGTTAAATAAAGATATTTTTACTGAAATCTGAGAGATTTCTGTCCCTCCATTGACAGCTACGTCACTACCACTTTAATGCTTCGAATTCATAAAGAGATCGAAAAACTAATCCATATGAATTGAGCGGTTTAGTCCAAATTTTCTAATGAGACTAGATCACTTTATATGATGAACAGATTTAATTTAGACTTTTATTCACATATAAACATTGATCAACTCACATCAGTTGTGGTGAACGGAAGCGCAAACATGTTCGCTTGACGTGTGAGAACCAATGAGGTTCATTCTCGTGTTACGCATCACGTTTGAGCTTCTGCAATAACCAATGAGGTTCATTCTCACGCGTCAAGCAGGTTCGGTTGATTTTCTGTTGATGTTATTGACATCTACGTCACTACCTCTTTAATGCTTCGAATTCATAAAGAGATCGAAAAACTAATCCATATGAATTGAGCGGTTTAGTCCAAATTTTCTAATGAGACTCGATCACTCTATATGATAAACAGATTGAATTAAGGCTCTCATTCACATGTGAACATTACTCAACTGTTCAGTTGTGGACACGTCAAGCAGGTTCGGTGGAGCTTTGTTCATGTTCGCTGATCAATGTTTAAATGTGAATAAAAGCCTAAATTCAATCTCAATTTGGACTAAACCACTCAATTCATATCAATTCAAGCTCTTTACTCTTTACTAAACAATAAAATGTAATAATAAACTAATTATAATTATAATAGTGCAAAAAGAATAAAATGCAATTTAAATTTCATTTCAATTATTAAAATTATAATTTAAATAATTAAACTTAATTAAATGTTATTAGTTCAGAACAATATGTTAAAACTTCTAAAATCTTTACTCATTTTATTTTACAATAAAATAAAAACAAATAATAATGTAATCATGTTCTTTAAATAATACAATATGTTGTTCAGTTCAAGTTCAAGTAAACTTTGACAAAACTGAACAATAGAAATATTCATAATTATAAAATATTAATATTAAATATTATTTAAATTCAAACTTACACCATAAAAGGTATTCCAACATTACATGATTTTGTACAAAAGTATATTACAAGCCTAGCAAGTGTTCTTCAATAATATCTGCTCAGCCCACAATAGCATCTCCAGAGCGAGACCTTGTTAAAATGTTAAATTGAGCCAGCACAAAATATTTGCAAACACACACACCTTTTACTCACTTCTTTGTCTCCTGTTGTGGTTAGTTATCTTAGTCTTTCCTTGTCATCTCTCACTAGCTGACACAGCGATGGCCACTAGATCCAAGGCCTGACCTTATTATTGCTGACAGGCTGGCTAATCATGTTACTGAGACTCTCACACAGGCTGGTGGGTCTGGCTTATCATTTTACATGATGAAAGTAGTAGGGTCATTCTTCAAGAAACTTTGAGCTAAAATAACAGCACTGTGTTCCAATTATGCCGCTAGGGAATTCAATGCACATTAAACAGTATACAGAATAACATTATGGTACTGCCATGGGTAACAGGGTTAGACTTCCGTACATAAGTAAAGGATAAGACCCTTATTCATCGTCTGGTGTCGTTTAAAGCCCTTTGAAGCTGAAACTCTCAATATAAGTCCATTATATGGAGAAAATCCTGGAATGTTTTCATCAAAAACCTTAATTTCTTTTCGAGTGAAGAAAGAAAGACATGGACATCTTGGATAACATGGGGGTGAGTAAATTATCAGCAAAAGTTTTTTTTTTAAAGTGAACTACACCTTCAACATGGCTGATTGAACATATTTTTGAACTAGCCTACTGTGAATACAATTGTAAATCAAATGTAATATCGTTGTATGTTATATTGTATTACCGTATGCCACTATGGTACTACAACAGGCCCATGGTTTGTATGCTTCGGATTACGACACGCCGCAGTCGAATAGCAACAGCTGACGTTCCTCCGCACCATAGTTACGTCGTGCGTGACGTCACGCCCCGCCCGCAGCCATGCGTACTCTGCTTGTTATCGGGTCGCTTGTTATGACTGGAGAAGGCCTCGGACTCAATTAAAACTTATCCCCGGGACAGCCGCATGCTCATGGAGGGCATGGACATAGACCTGGATCCGGAGCTCATGCAAAAATTCAGCTGCATGGGCACCACGGATAAAGATGTCCTCATCTCGGAGTTTCAGAGGCTGCTGGGTTTTCAGCTCAACCCGGCTGGCTGCGCCTTCTTCCTGGACATGACCAACTGGTGAGTCCGGGGACTCGGCTGCGGCCTACTGGTGAACTAAACATAAAGCGTTTACCTCTGTTATTTCTTGCTTTAAAATGCCTTGCATATCAATAATAGCTCCGCGAGGACAGTTGTCATGAACCCAGTAGAGTTTAAATAAAGCTGAAGCGAAAAAGACAACAAGCTAACAGCTAATTTACTGTTTACAAAGAAAACAAATGTAGCATTTCGGCTCATATGAACTATAGAAGTAATATTTTAGAAAGTTGTCCCCTTTAAAATTAATTTTCTCAAACATGTTCTTAAATTATGTGGTTTGTTTCGTTTATGTCAGTTGTCAAACATATGAACGTTAGCTTGTTTGTGCTAGTAGCTCGCTACTATAGTGGTTGTGTTTCAAATCATTCTGAGTTCCCTATCTAAGCAGCATTCTTGTTTTTCTTTTCTGACCTGAAATGCTGCCGAGTAGGGTCGTGCTTTCAAAATGCTGTCTATGTAGGGGTCTCACTACGTTTTGAGCCACAGACATTGTTTAATGTTGCTCAGTCACGACTCCTCAAAAATACCGTTTTGCTTAACGACAGTGATATATTAGTTTTCATTTGTAAAAACAGTAACATTACATTCATTGTTTGAATGTTGCTTCTTTGCGTAAACTTGTTGTTTGTTGACATGGAAAGGCTATTGTTAAGTTTACTTCAGAGTTATGTAATACACGAGTGTACTTTCATCTGAGGTCTTACACACAGGCCAGGCCAACACTAGTTTGTCCCTCCCTTCTTTTGTTTTGAACATGACTTTACATTCTGGCCACTTTATAGATCTTATATATATATATATATATATATATATATATATATAACTCGTTGTTTTGCTCTTGGTAGTTAAATCTCCCATGCTGATCTGTCTGTATTTGTGCCTATTAGGAACCTTCAAGCAGCTATTGGTGCATATTATGACTTTGAGAGCCCAAATATCAACACGCCGTCAATGTCTTTTGTGGATGATGTGACGATTGGAGAGGGGGAATCCGTTCCTCCTGACACACAGTTCACAAAGACATGGAGGATACAGAATACGGGTGAGTTTTTTTTTTTTTTCTGGTTGTAAATATAAAAAGGCTGAATGTTTAATGACTTACACCAATTTTGTTATATTTGCATGCAAGCACAGACATTACACAATTTAAATGAAATATTCCTTCATAGTGGAATCTTTTGGGGAAACATATAATGTTCAAAAGAAATGTGTTTGATGGTCATTTTGCACTGTAAATTTGCACAATTTAGTTATGTGAACTAAAAAAAGAAAACTGTCAAATTAAGTATTTCCCATTTCTTTCCATCACACGCAATACTTTCATTAATTTTGTGCAAAAAAACGTAGTTTACCACTTTATTTATAAAATATTCATTTCCGGTGCACGTTCACGCAACAACGTCTACTCTCGTGTCAACAACATTCAGCGTGGTGGAGATGAATAATTTGTGGTCAATTGTTGTCATAGCATTTGCATCGCTTCATAAAATTGAGGTTAAACCATTGGAGTGGCGTGGATTAATTTTATGATGTCTTCACTACCTTTCTGGGGCTTGAAAGTGGTAGTTGCGTAGCTGTCAGTGCCAGTGGAGGGACAGAGAGCTCTCAGACTGTCTAATGTCATTCATGTCTTTGTGCTTTGCAGGTACAGAGTCGTGGCCCCCGGGTGTGTGTCTGAAGTATGTTGGTGGGGATCAGTTTGGTCATGTGAACATGGTGATGGTGCGGTCTCTGGACCCGCAGGAGATCTCAGACGTGAGTGTGCAGATGCGCAGTCCAGCCGTTCCTGGCATGTACCAAGGCCAGTGGAGAATGTGCACGGCCACTGGACTATTCTATGGAGGTGAGACGCAAACGATAAAACTAACAGTCAACATTTTCATGACATTGAGCTAAAGAAACAACTATTTAAAAACATGATGCATGACCGTTTTAAAGGGATAGTTCACCCAAAAATAAAAACACCGTAGTCATTTAGTCATCCTCGTATGATTTTCTTTCTGCGAAGTGGATACTGTGTTTTTATGTCTTGCCAATTTAAACATTAAAGTGATTCATTTAACCATTCAAGTGCAGGAAGACAAAAAAGAAAAGAAAACTGTACCAATTTGAGTTCTCTTTTGTGTCTTGAATGGAGAAATGCACACAAAATTATGTCAAAATACACATCTTGGCTAGTATCATTGTGAACGTAAGCGGTTGAGAAAGGAAACCCATGTCAATTAGTATATTGGATTTGTGCATTCAGTCTCAAAGTGACAGCAGCCTAATATACCTGCTGCTGTGTAACTTTTATAACTTTTATAGGATTAATTTATATGTAATTTATACAGTGAAGGCTATGCTGTTTTATTTTTACATCACTCAATTGTTAAGTAAACCTATTGTACATGAAAAGCTTTAATTTGTATATGTTTTCTTGTATTTGTCCAATTGTTTGTAATTTGCTTCTTTGTTATTATTTTTAAATACAAAAATCAAATAACTACACTGTTACGAAATAATTTTTCAAAGAATATCGGAGTACATTTTACAAGAAAATACTTTCAGTCTTTCAACTTAAAAATTGCCATTTCTTTGGTATTAATTAATTTGGAAATTTACTAGCAATTTCTAAGTGAAAATTGTTTCTACGGCAAATCATTTTAGGTGTATATTGTGACTAAACCATAGTCTGTTTGAATACTTGAGTCTTATTGGCTGAAAGGTGTGCAATAAAACCTTTTAATGCACAGTAGTTCCAAGTTGTTTTAATCACTCTTCCATATTATTGCATGGCTTTCATTAAAGCACACGCACGTCACAGACACGCACTCAGAGATTGAGAATCGTGCTGTGCACACACAGAAACTTGTTATCAATGCTTCCCGCAAATTTTATTAATAAATTAATTGCGCTACTGAATCACTACATTATACTACTCAGCAAGGAGGTGGCAACGCCGCTGTTTTTGTGAAGTAATTTAACTCGCAGCTTCATTGCTAGAGAGACACTGAACAGATTCAGGTAATTCACGCGCGCTTCTCTCTCTCTCTCTCCCCATAGGCTAATTCATTCAAATAAATGTTATAATGCTCTTTATTTCTGATTTAAAGCCGACAGAAAGCTTTGTCTAACAAGTCGTAGCTGATGAAAATAACCTTTCCAGTCAAATTTAGTCCTGCAAGCATGGTATAAGCGGGATAATCCATGGCTAGCTGTGCATTAAACGATTTTAATCCACTCCTGCTTTGCGTCGGGTGGTTCATTGCCTCCACGTTGTGCATTAAAATAATTTAATGATTCATATCATATTCAAAACATAAATGATTCAAATCATTTAATGCACAGCTACCTGTGGATTATCCCTTGCGTATATCGTTGTCGTGAAATACATTTTCTCATATTGTCAAAGAAGATGTTGGCCATATCACCTAACCCCAGTAGTATGCCATTCAGAGCATTAGTTCTGCAAGTTCTGAGTTTCTACAACCAGCTTTGTCGAATGCATGGCTCAACTCATTCCGCTTGTTTTGCAGATGTGATCTGGGTGATTTTGAGTGTGGAAGAGGGAGGCCTGCTGGGCGTCACACAGCAGTTATCCTCCTTCGAGACGGAGTTCAACACGCAGCCACACCGCAGTGTGGAGGGAGGCTTCAACCCTTTCGCCTCACCACAGAAGAACAAGCAGGACACCAATGAGGATAATCTAAATGACCCCGGGGGCCCCTGGGAGGCCCCACTGGACTCCATTCAGCAAGATCAAAACGGACTCAATCACAGCTCTGTAAATATTACACCAAATGGTCTCCAAAACAACTTATCAGTAGTGACTTACAGCCAGGTATGTTTGCCATTTGGAGTTTTTCATTGAGTTGAATGAAAATTAGCATGATAATGGGGTGTGAATACGGCTGGGTGATATAGAGCGAATTGTTATATGAACCGATTAAATGAAACAGACTGCTGTGAACTTTAATGGCATTTTTACTCTTATTGTTTTACAGGGGTGCTATTAATTATCTCCCGATATTACGATTTTTTTAATTAAATGTTTTAGTCTTTGCTGATATGGCAATACATTAAATCCCCCGTAATGCACTCCTGAGGCCCAAGGAGAGACTGTTAAATTAGTGTAATGGTACAGTCTTTACAGTTATTTGCTGGTTAAAATGATTAAAGTCATATTTTTGAGCAGAAAACATGGTCAATAAATTATTAAAATGTTTAGGCATTCTCTTTCAGTTTTTTCATGACACACTCAATCATTATGTTTGCCGGTGCGCTTGAGCGTTGATTAGGCTATGTAATATATAGGCAATTAAAAGCTTGTTATTGTGATTTATGGCTTATTAATATGGTTGACTACTAGTCAAGTTAAACAATCTTTAGTCTAGGGCAGCCCTAATTCTTACACTACCATTCAAATGTTTACCATTATAAATAAATGCTGTTCTTTTGGGTTTCTATTAATCAAAGAATCAGGAATAAAAAAAATAATGACAGTGTTCTCAAATATGTGAAGCAGCACAACTGTTGTCAACATTAATAATAATCACAAATATTTATTGAGCAGCAAATCGCCATATTAAAATAATTTCTGAAGGATCATGTGACACTGAAGACTGGAGTAATGATGCTGAAAATTCAGATTTAATCACAGGAATAAATGACATTTTAAAATAAATTCAGTTATTTTAAATTGAAATAATATTTCACAATATTCCTGTTTTTTACTGTATTTTTGATATAAATGCAGCCTTGGTGAGAAGAAATAAGTTAGAAACTGATCCCAAACTTTATAAATGACAGTGTATATCAGCAACAAAATCGTCGCAGATATATTATGGATGCTCAATATATCACCCAGCTGTATGTTTTATGTCTGAATAATGAGTGATTACAACTGCTATTGAATATTCTCTCAATATTCTCCAATTCTCTAAACCTGCTATAAATGTTCATGAAATCAGGAGCTTTTTCCAAAGGTAAGTTAAAAGGTCAAGATGCATCCAGCACAAGATTCAGTTCAGAAAGCCGCAATGACACACTCAGCAAGTCTTTCTGACACCCTCCCAAAATCTTGCTTTTATGCCAAAAGTCTGTGCTGGAAAGCTCTCAATGTGCTGACCGCCATAGGATCTCTTAACACAGAAGGTCACTTAACAACAGCGCGTCACCTTTCTGCTCCCTGCCCTGTTTCATGACATCTAACCAAAGAAAAGCACATTGTGATGATTCACCGTGTTTGGTTACACCTTTCCTCATTACGCACACATGTGAAACTGAGGCTGGGAGATACAGCTAAAGCAGATTTAATATGCATCTCTATTCTGTATGTAGTTGCTTTGACATGTCTTGAAAGGGTGATTTTTGTTGTTTAATGTAATGATTAAAACACGGAAATATAAAGTTTTCTTTTATATGCACCAATATAAATAGCAATATTTATGGGCATTTTTGAGTGATCATTCAACAAGTGTTGATTAAGAAATTGACTGAATAGTTCCTGACTTGAACAACAACATATTCCTGTAAGTTTTCCTTGGAACACTTGAAAAACCTGTACTAAATTTCCATCCAGATAGCAGGAAAGGGCTGATTGGCTCTCTACTGACTTGTGACCTGTGTGGATGATTAGCACCATACCAAAGAAATTGTTTCAGACACACCTAAAGGTCTTTAAAACAACAAACTTCTGTCCAAGAAAATCATATGTAGAAGTAGAGCCGGGCGATAATTGCTACTTTGCAATTTAATTGCTACCAGTGTTTTTTTGTTTTTTTTTTACTATTTTAATAGCGTCTCTTAAAAACATAGTGTTAGACTGTTAATAACCGTTTAATTAATTAATAACCGTTAATCTGTTAATTTCAATTAATATTATAACTGGGGCTGTCAAACAATTTATCGCATCCAAAATAAAAGTTTGTGTTTACATAATATATGTGGGTGCACTGTGTATAATTATTTTATATATATATATAAATACACACACATGCTTGTATATATTTAAGAAATATTTTCATGTATATACTGTAGATAGATTTATATATAATTTTATGTGTGTATATATTTATGCGTGTGTATATATATATATATATATATATATAAAATAATTATACACAGTGCACCCACTAATATTATGTAAACACAAACTTTTATTTTGGATGCGATTAATCACGAATAATTGTTTGACAGCCCTAATTATAACTGTATATTATAAGAATATATCTAAGTGAATCTTAATTCACTCAAAAATGTTCATTGCGCATTATATTTTTAAATGAATGTAAACATTTTGGATTGATTTTTGTTATATTGGTGCATATTATAAATAAAAATGAATTAATATTAATCTTCCCTGTGTTTATTTAGTGAAAACTGATTATTTTAACTTAATTTTTACTCTTTTTGAATCTGCTTGCTAACAATGTCTGCTTGGTTTGTTCCTGCTGATTTACAAAAAAACACCCTTTATGCCATTTCATACTTTGATATTGAAATGTATTTCAAATGTTAAAAGGCTGAGAAACATTTAATGGCTTTTTATCTCCCAGCCCTGTGAAGTTTTTCATTTATGCTTTGTCCTTGATGTGTTAACTGTGGGGTTGCCGTCTGTAAATGTTAATCCTAGAGGCTGTTTAATAGGCCCTTGAGGGGGTTAAACTTTGCCTCATGGCCACAAGATGGAGTTCCATGCAAGCATGTGAGCGGATGCAGGAAAGTCATTAACCAGTCAAAATAAGTCACCAGTGAAATCTCACAAATTACGACCCAAACACCCAATCCAACCCATATCATAAATATATTCCCAGTGTAGTGTTGTAAATCTAGTGTTGATTTCAGGTTAGAGACTATTTGCCTTAACAACAATCTGAGGGTCAAATATTTCTGTAAAACTTGGTGTTGTACTGTCATAACTCTTACATCGCTCATCTTATTTGAACAAACCAACCTTGGTTAACATAGGCGCCTATTTATGTTTCCCCATGAAGAGAAATTAACTGACGTCTTTCGTGTTTTTTTTTTTTTTTTTTTTTTTCAAACTGGCTAATACAAATACTTTACAAACCAAATATAAACACGTCCTTATTCACCTCTGTTTCCATGAGCAAATGATAACTGGGCTAAGCAAGGAGATATACACATACGCAACAAATGCCCCTTAAAACAGTTTACCTTTCTCATTACTCCATAATTAATTATACTTGGTGTTAGTTTTTCAAAAGTCCTGGCTTTATATCCATACGATGATGCACTCGATGAATTGTGAAAAGAAAAGGACAGACTGCAAATGCATTACAAACCAAACAAAAACGCATATTCTTTCTATGAGGGTTGTCGCGATCTCTCGCTAAAATGTACCTGAGTATTTTGAAGTTGATTACTTAAAGGGGCCATGATGTGTTTTTTTATAAATTATTTTAATATGTTCCTTAAGGTTTACTTATAATTTAAATATATATATATATATATATATATTTTTTTTTTTTTTGGTTTGTGCTCAAACGTGGAAAAACTATTATTTTCTGACCCTGTCTGAAATGACCGATTTTTATGGCACGGCTCCTTTAAGGACACTGGTAGGCTAGCGTCATTGCATAGAAAACCAACGTCCACTCGCAAAGTCAACGTTGCAACGTCCACTCACTATTGTACGCGAGTGTTTTAAGAACATTATCCATATAAAACTGCCACTAAATAATTTACTGACAGACCCAACAGTCGGCTGCTTCATCTGTCGACAAAAGTGTCTTTGCGAGCTGTCCATTACACAGTGTCTGATGCTTTGTTTATAAGGATGTTTTAAGCTATCACTCTTGCAGGATGTTTTTGGTACAAAGACCACGTACATGTCAAAAGATCAAGGCAAATATGATTTCTCATATCATGACCCCTTTAAAATGCAACATATCATGTGAGATCCACCAATCAGAGAGGTTCCTGAATCTCAATTGATTTTTTTTTTAATTGGTTAAAATTAATGGAGAATATCATGTTTTTTTTTTGTTGTTGTTTTTGTGAGTGATCGGCAATTTCCGGCGCTTATGCCCTTAACCAAGTGGTAATATTATTATGAATCCCATAGTAGACTTACACTGGATGAGGGACCAGAGCCAGTGTGCTCGCCTCTAAACTTAACACGCTTTAAATATTTGCACAGCCATTTGCGTTTTATTTAGCAAATGTAAAAATCTATTAACAATTGATCTTGTTTTGACAGAGTTTTATCTCACTCTTTCTGTTCATTCGCAGGGCATTAATGGACCCTTCCCATTTGGACAGTCTTAAGATACAGAAAGCATCCGGGAGCTCATCGGAGCCACTGCTTTTGCCCTTTTCAGGGGATCAGAGAGAGGAGGAACAGATTTACTCTAAAGACTTGGTGACCCTCCCTCTCCCCTGATGCATCACAACATCACATAAATGTGTGGACAAATCTGTTTGGCTCCAAATCAATATTGAAGCAACACCTGAGTTACGCATGTGTGAATGCTAGATTTAGATGCGTGCTAGAAATTCTAAAGAGATATAATGGAAAATACACCATTTTTCTGATCTGTATTGTCACATTACAGCGGTAAATTCAGAAGTGTGAGTGCACGAATGCGTAAGAGAAACAGCGGCAGGGCGGTTGGATGAATGAATGAGTGAATCGAAGTCCTTTCACCCCAATTTCAATAGAAAAGCATACGATTTATATTTTGCTTAAAGAAAATAAAGCCTGCTTTTAGGATGTGTATGATATGTCAATTCTGCACATTTTCCACCAAATTCCCATTACTGCAATAAATACGGACAATTATATTTCAGATCTTTTTTTTGTTTTGTAATTCCCATTGTTCTCGCCTTTAAATGATTGTATTAAAATATTGCACTGTTTCGTTTTTTTTAAATAGCCTGATTTGAAATACAACCAATTCATGTACAACAATGTATATTTATACCATTTTTTGCAATTTAAATAAATTAATTACCATGAAAATTATGTTACAATGAAGGAAATCTTAATGGTGCTAAAAACAGGGCTTTGTTTTGTTCTTTAAGCAAAGTATAATTCTCATTTATTCCTCTGATTTTGGTTTGTGAGAGTCATCTGAATATGTGTGCGACAGCCATGCACAAAAGCCATCAACAAATGAATGAAGAATTAATGGCTCTCAAGTAGTTTCTCATTTTTCATCAATGTTCTTTTATTTTACAAACTGGACAGTTTCAAGTACAAAAGAAAAAAGGTCAATGTGCCTACTTGGAGGTTAAATTGTGTAATTGGTAGAAGAACAAAAGTTTCATATGGTCCTTTGCCAGCCACTTGTAATTGTTTGTTTAGTACAAAATTGCATTTAAAACCTGCTCTGGATTCACTAAAAAACCCAGCAAACCTGTACAGCCGTACATGAGCACATTATGTCTCATTATATTGAAGTATACATCTGTACTGCCACTATACAGGTCACGTCATAGCTGTTGTCAGAGATGCCCTTAGTAACTATCTTGTTGCTGTTATCATATTTGTTTACATTGATGTTTTTCTGGAGTTATAGAGTGCTGATGTTGGTTTCCACTCACAATGACACAATCCATCAGAGATGATCGTAAGCGCAGATGTGACTTTGGTTCCCTTGTTTACTGACCTAAGAGTTCACAAGCACATCATTGATTTATTTTCCCAATCCTACGTTTCTGCCGTTCACCTAGACCTGCGATGGTATTAAGCTTTTTTTAAATGAGCTGAGGGTGTTTTAATGAGGGAAAGTGTGAGTGAGTTCATTTTAAAGGAATATTCTGGGTTAAATGCAAGATTTGTACCTCTCTGAACTGAAAATGCTTTGACATTTATTCAATTGTCTACGTGGCAAGTGCACTACTTCCATTGTAAGGGCATTTCCCTATACACATTTTTTTTTCCTTCGATTTTACAAATTACCATTTTTTTTTTTCTGTGCATTTAACCAAAAATATTCTCTTAAATTGTATTCTCTTGAGTGTTGCTAAATGTTGAAATGGTAAATTGTGAGCTGGAAAGTTCCAAATAATATTTTAATGCATAAAGAATTTTTGTGGAGTTTATTTGGTTTGAATCGTGCCTCTGTGTTTGGTATGATGGAAAGCTTCTTGGATGTTTTATATCTTGCTTAATATATCTGAAAGGCCGTTTTACTCACCATTTTCTGTTTTGCTGCGATGGCTAGGCAATCTATAAAACGTGAAACGTTAACAACAGTCTCCTATCATTTTTTTTTTTCTTAAAGGGATACTCCACCCAAAAATGAAAATTCTGTCATTGTTTACTCACCCTCAAGTTGTTGCAAACCTGTATGAGTTTCTTTTTTCAGCCGAACACAAAGGAAGATATTTTGTAGAACGATTGGAACCAAACGGTTGTTTGGCACCATTGACTTCCATAGTAGAAATAAAAATACTATGGAAGTCCAATTGTTCTTCAAAATATCTTCCTTTGTGTTCAGAAGAAAGAAACTCATACAGGTTTGCAACAACTTGAGGGTGAGTAAATGATGACAGAATTTCATTTTTGGGTGGAGTGTCCCTTTAATTGTTGTTTACTAAGAATAAAAGAGTAAACAAATTCCCCGGTGTCCTCAAGCTATATGCAAATCAGAGTCCAAACTGACCTTTATGTCATGGGAAAAGAGATTAGTGTCACCATGTCTTGTTAAATTTAATGCGTCAGGCAATTCTTGTCCGTTTCACCCGAATTCTATGCACCTGGAAGATTTCGCCATTAACGGATACTGACATTGCGTCCAAATTTCTTGAATTGCTGTGGCTTCACTTTTACATTGCAAATGATCTATGCAGTGTGTAAAGGGACGGTTCCTTCCAAAGTTGCACTCACAGTCGCCATTTATGTTTCCGTAAGGACAGAACAACACTTTTTCTCCCATAAACAGCTCACCGGATGATGTCATCACTTCATCAGTCATGTCTTCCTCTGAGCTGTATTATGAATGTCCTCATCCCAAGCGCTGCACACTTCACAGCCACCTTCCGGTTTATAATTACACTCTGGATTTTTCTTTCTTTCTCTTTTTTTTTTTTGGGTGTTGCTTATGCATGTGAGAAGTGTGATTGATTCATTGCTGCGTTATTGTCTTTTATTCTGATTTTTTTTTTTTCTGTTAGATCTGTTGAGGTTTTCTGCACTGTGGCATTGGTGTATGACTGAGCGGAGAGTTTGCATAGAGTACTATGATAGCACAGTGAAAGAGAGAAAATATGAAAAGCCTTTTCCTGTATGTATAATTGAACATTTGTATGATTAAATTAACACTGAAACAAATGATTCTGTCTTCGTGTTTTGAATGCAGCGTACGTGAGCAGTGTGATTGTGTTAATGCAGTTCCCAGAAGAAGTTATTGTCCTTTACATCGTGCTTGTTTTTAACCTTTGAAAATGATTTGGCCGTAAATAGACTGTCAATGTCCTGGCCAGCGTTGCCTTATCAAAATTTGGCCTTAAATGAATATTAGTGTTCTTAGTTATTTTACATTCTTAAAAAATACATTTTATTTAATAAATAACCTTTTAAAGGAGTAGTTCACTTTTTAAAAAACTTTTGCTGATAATTTACTCACCCCCATGTCATCCAAGATGTCCATGTCTTTCTTTCTTCAGTCGAAAAGAAATTAAGGTTTTTGATGAAAACATTCCAGGATTTTTCTCCATATAATGGACTCCAATGGGAACCAAACGGTTCAAGGTCCAAAAGACACTTTCAGTGCAAACTGTTCAAAGGGCTTTAAACGATTCCAGACGATGCATAAGGGTCTTATCAAGCGAAACGATCGCTCATTTAAAAAATGAATAACAAAGTTTAAGTTTTAGAAGCTCAAATGCTCGCCTTGCTCTGTTCTGTGATACGCGTTCGTGACTCACCTGTTCGAACTCGTTTATCAAAATTAACGAATCTTTCACGAGTCAATTCGTTAATTTCGATAAACGAGTTTGAACAGGAGAGTCAAAAGTCATCCATATGACTCCAGGGGGTTAATAAAGGCCTTCTGAAGCACAGTGATACGTTTTTATAAGGAAAATAACCATATTTATAACTTTATAAAGTATAATCACTGGCGTCCGTTAACAGCCCTATACGAGTCAAGCTCCGGAGGAAGAGTGACCTTTGACCTGATGCATGACGTTCAAACGCAAAGGCACAAAGGATACAGCAAAACAAAACACAGTTCACGAATCGGAAGTCTAAAACGAGAATTGTTAAAGAGAAATGTGAGAGGAGCTTGAGTTTGTTCAAAGGCTTTCCTGTAGCTCAAACACTAGAGCGTTTGTAACGCTAAGGTCATGGGTTCGATTTCCAGGGAAAGCAAGAACTGGTAAGAATGTAAATGTGTATCTTGAAATGCAATGTAAGTCGCTTTGGATAAAAGTGTCTGCTAAATGTCTAGTCTCACCTGAGCTTAAGCAACGTCTACATCCAATGTCATAAATTGGGTCAAAGGTCCAGAACTCGACTTGCATACGGCCGTTACCGTAAACCAGTGATAATAGTTTATAAATATATAAATATTTATATTTTTCTCCCAAAAATGGATCGCTTGGCTTCAGAAGGCCTTTATTAACCACCTGGACTCATATGGATTACTCTTATGATGGATTGATGCACTTTTTTGGGCGTCAAAAAACTAGGTACCTACCATTCACTCCCATTATAAAGCTTGGAAGAGCCAGGATATCTTTTTTGTAATATAACTGGTTGTTTTTGACTCTAAGAAGAAAGTCGTGAGGATCTAGGATGGCCTGAGGGAGAGTAAATAATGAGATAATTATCAGTTTTGGGTAAACTAATAACCCTTGTGAGTAAAACTGGTTCTTTTAAAACTGCTGAAAGGTTATTTGTGGAACCCGAAACGGTTCTATGGTATCATTACAAGAACACTCTTTTGGAACCATGATTTTAAAGTGGATAATTAAATGTATGGCAGTTTTATTTTCACATAAAAATGTCTGAATGTCATTGTATTAGATAAAATATCCAAGTAAATGTCTGTATATAAGCTAAAATGCATGCTACTTCATTTTTGAAGTCTCAATGACTTTTGTCTGAGGTGCTGTTGAACTTTCCTCTAACATTTAAAACATGGAACTACTTTGTGATAATTTGATATCTAGTCATTGAAATTTGAAGCATTAGAGAGTCATTTTAATTTGATTTTTAACTAATTGAAAGTTCCCCCAGGTTTACCGAATGAGTGCAACAGAATTTCACTTGTGAAGATTATATTTTCATGCAATTTTATGACCAAAACCATGTCTCCGTCTCATCATAAACTGAATTCCAGTACAACCCTGATGTTCTATGGCCCTTCAGGAAGAATATAATCTTGTTTACACTAATTACCATAGCTGGGATGTGTTGATCTGGGATGAGGAGACCATCTCTAGGCAAATATTTGCTCACACCTCAGGTCTTGTGCAACTTTCCTCGGCACAATCTAATATTACCCACCTGACAAACAGGTAAAATCATAGAAAGACCTTAAACAAATGCAAAGTATTTCCTCTTGGTTTGACAGCTGCACTTGCCTGGGCTGTGGGACGCAAATTCTGTGGTATCTGGAATGGATGTTGGTATGGGTCTTGTACAAAAACACTGATTTAAGTGAAATGAGCCTTGAGCATTTCTTGTTTCCATGTTTAAACTATCAACAATTATTTCCTGGTGTTGGATTTTCCATCATTTCACTTTTTGTGCCATTTAACTCACTAAATGTAACGTTTTCCTGATGTCCCCGAAGCCTCACCAAGACGACAAATGCAAACAAGGAAGTTTCAGACTTCAGACTGCAGGGCATTGTCATTGGTGTATTTCAGTCAAACAACTTCCTTTAGAGATCAACCAAGACAGTGCATTTTTATAATTTTCTAGTGTGGGGGATAAACACACATTTAGACTTGGTATTGACACAGTTGGGTGTAATAGTTTGTTGGTATGGTAAGTAAACCTATCATGCAGTCTACACCTAGTTGATATACAGCTCTCTTTGCTGTGTTTCCAGACTATTCGCACAGTAATGCAGACAATGCGGACGGATAAATCAAAAGACTGGTCAGCTTCACTGTTTACAGGGCGGTTTGACACACTGACATCAGCACTGGACTGTGACACGAGTATAAACCTCGCCATGTGAAGCGAACATGCTTGAGCTTCCGTATACCCCAACTGATGTGTGCGTTGATAAATGTTTAAATGTGAATAAACGCCTAAATGAAATTTGTACATCATATAAAGCAATTGAAATCTCTCAGATTTCATCCAAAAGATCTTCATTTGTGATCCAAAGATGAACGGTCTTATGGGTTTGGAACGACGAGGGTGAATCACAATGATATAATTCTCATTATGGGGGGTTGAACAACCTTTAATCCCACAAAACCTAACCCTACCCATAAATTATTCCTCAATCAGATGGAAATTATAGGTGAATAGCACTGATGTAGAAGCATCTAACCCTGTTTGTAAGCCTAAACATTCAAATAAACATTAAACTTGTCTCTCAAATCTGATTGGTTGATTGAAATTTTGATCAGAAGCCTGTGTTCTGAAGCTCCATGAGAGGTATGACAGTTAAATTGTGAGGAATACACTTACAGTGTTTTCAATGGCATCCGCTGTAAACAGCTGTAAAGCTCATAGATCACTCAAAGGTATAGCGGAGGATATTTCCGAATTTTAGAGAAGACACGCCCTCTCCAATTTTTTAAAAAATGCACATGCACAACATTCTATTTGCTCCCGAGGGGGAACGCCAATTACGCCTTACACAATTATGTTGCAAATTATAAACTAACTCAAAAACATTCATAAAAAAAGACAAAATGTTAAATGCCCTTCCGTGTTGTATTTACTTATTATACTGATCGATTGAGTGACCGAGGACTCATGACATGATATGCAATGGAGAAGTAGCTTGTTGCATTTGTGTAGTAAATACTATGGTTAACACATTGGAATTATCGAAAATGAACACACAAGATTTTAGAATATTTTAGCGTGATACAATTTACCATTTGGTCAAAAGGCTTTAGACAAATTGAGATGTTTACCGTGTCTACGCGGTGCATGACTTGTGCCAGGGCTAGCATCGCTAATCATAGCTTGCATTAACTTTTACTAGCAGTGATTTTAAACGGATTTCTCCAAATATCATGAAAAACTTTACCTGTCTAGTAGAATCTTCGTGACTGCGGCATCGGTGGGAAGCCCAACCTGTGCTTTTAGCGCACGTCTGCGTGTGAAATATTCTCCCAAAGTCACTCTGGTCTTGTTTCTATATTCTGCGGCCTTCCTCTTCTTATCATACGCTCCGACTCCGTATACATTTTTTTTCTCATTCGACCCTCAGACATTTTCCAAGGAATGGCTGAAACCGTAACTCATCACACATTATACACCTGAAAGTGAAAAATACGTAGTGATGAGCATGTACAACGGCCTTACCTAAACATATCACCAGAATGATTGACACTTAGGTGGACGCTACCCACCCGGAAAAAGAAAATCGTCCGCTATACCTTTAATAGACGTTATTCACTGCAGCGCCATTTTTTTTTTACGGGAATGAAAGTGTGGATGTGAGAGACATACATCTCTTCAGTAAGTTCTTCTGTTATTTAAGAGTTTTAGAGTATTAGTCCTTTGTAATTTAAGGAACAGCGTCAAACATCATCTTGGTAAAGTTAGGAAGAGCAGGTCGTCGCGGTTTGTGCTTTGTACATGGCGAGTGGCGCCAAACTATCGCGTCAGTTAATAACCATAGCAACAGGGCGCTTAGCCCTTCGAACACTGACAAAACAACAACAATAAATCACAATAGGCTACAGCGTATGTTTTTTTTTTAAACACAGGCTATAGTTTTAAAAGCTACATTTTTAATTAATTTAAAACTACCTTGCATGTTGCAATTTACAACCGTGTTATGAACTTGTATATGAATAACGAGAAAAGTACGGTAGCCTTGAATTGCTTTTCTAATGGAAAGCACTCGAGCGGTTATTGTTGCTATGGTGACACCTCGTGCGAAAGCGACAAGCTGTTTGGCGTCAAGTGATTAGCCTACTCATTCTGTAATCTAACTTTTCATTTTGGTTCTTTATGCTTTAGCATTTTTTTCTATAGTGTTTAGAAGCCTATGTGTTATACTGTAAGCTGCCGATGGAAACAGTCTACACTGCACAGATCAAGTGCTGCTGGCTACATTAATTACTATGAGATTCTACTATGGCGACGCACTGACTCCTCACCTTATGTGATCTTCGTGCATGACTCACTAAAGTATCTGTAGCAACAAGTTTTTATTTTCGTTTAACCCTCTAGGGGTAAATTAGCTAAATGTAGCAGGCTATGTGTTGCTTTTGCAATCAAACAGCCAATGAAAAAGCAACATGTATATGTAAGCACATGCTTATATCAATTATTGATAATTTCTGCAATATTACTTATCTTGTTTTTATTTATTTTAGAAATATTAAGAACTAGGGAATTGTTTAATCATACGTATAAAATCATGAAGAAATGTTCAATATTAAAATAATTTTGTGTTAAAATGACATCACTCTGAAAATTGCTTGTAAATGTAACAAAGAATAACAAAAAAACGGAAATAAACATGCTGAATTAAACATAAAATTCTGATATACAAAAACTGAAATAATGTTATCTTCTTAAACATACTCATACTATTCTTTATTCACAACTTCTGGGAAAACTAAGGAAGGAAAATACGAGGAAACTACCTTTTTAAGTTCACATGCAAGTCCTCACTCGATGTTTATCAGTTTAATTTGTTTTTGGAAATCTGCCCATCAAATGAATTCTCGTGAAATATTAAGTTATAAATATAATTGTACATACTGTTGTCATTGTCAACATTCTTGAAGATATTTGTTTAATCATGTAGTCACTGAAATAATTTTGTAATGGCTTAAAGGGATAGTTCACTTTGAAATTTGAAAGTTTTAGCTTACCTCAAGGGCATCCAAGATATAGATGTCTTTGTTTCCGCAGTATTTTCAATTTTGATATTTTTAGGTCAAACTGTTCTTGCCTGTCAGTCATATAATGGAGGTCTATGGTCACCACCTCAAAGAGCATGCACAGAGAAGTCCAAATTAAACATGATTTAATGACTCATAAACGTAAGTACACATTGATGGCCTAAGACACGAAACGAGCGGTTTGTGTGCCAAAACGAACAGTATTTATATCGTTTTCATCTCTTGTAACCACAGTCACGTTTAAGTACTCTGAGGGCGCAAGCGCCGGAAAGCCCCGGAAGTGATCTTTTTTCGCGTGTACGTCACTCATTGTTTACACAGAGATTTCAGAAGTGTTATCCTTCACTGAGAGGATCTAAACAAATTTAGAAATTGCAATGGAAGAGGATATGTCAACAAACAGCGTTGGTTTGTTTTCGCGACCGCGCGAGATCACTTCCGCCGCTTTCCGGACCGAATCGCCCGTGCTCTCAGATCACTTGGATGTGGCTGTGATAAAAACGATATAAATACTGTTCGTTTTCTCACACAAACCGCTTGTTTCGTGTCTTAGGCCATCAATGTGTACTTACATTTACGAGTCATTAAATCATGTTTAATCTGGACTTCTCTGTGCATGCTCTTTGAGGTGGTGACCATAGACCTGCATTATATGACTGACAGACAAGAACGGTTTGACCTAAAAATATCAAAATTGAAAATACTACTGAAACAAAGACACCTACTTCTTGGATGCCCTTGAGGTAAGATAAACATACATACCAAAATGAATTTCAAAGTGAACTATCCCTTTAATGTTTTTATGGGAAAAATATTCAGAATAAATTCCACAACATCTTCTGCAGAACTTGCAGCATTATTTTCATTAGCGATAAAGATCTAGAAAATAAAGTGCTGTAAAAACTTCCAGCAATTTCAAGTTGCTGCCTATATTCAAATTAAGTCATTTCAACTAACTTAATTTGAATATAGGCAGCAACTTGAAATACCTGGAAGTTTTTACAGCACATTATTTTCTACATCAATTATTTTGATGAGTTAATATAAGCTGATTAAAAACACAATTTGCGATGAGCTATTAATCATATTTTTATGTTTATGTTCATAACATGTTCTTCAGCATTTTTACTTATTTTTAGGTTTCAGATGAAATCATAGGCAATTACATATCATTTGAGAGCTTTTTTGTGCAGGTACATCATACCTAAATAAACGTATGCCCAAAAGGCATTATTCCTAATGCTTGCAGCATCCATCATGGAGCAGTCTGAAGGATTATGGCCTGAACCCAACTCAAACTCTGAGGGTTTCATGTGCACAGGCTCTTTCACAATGAACCATTGACAGCATCAGGTGAGTTAGGTGTGCGCGTTCTGACAAATGGCTCAACTGAACTTCGTCGTAAACGGACACCTTCGGCAGCGACGGTAACCTTTCGGTCCATAAATGGTTATCTAGCGCATGAGAAAGTTGTTTCAAAGTAAGACAGTGAAAAGAGCACATCTTAAACCTACGGTGTTTCTAACTGCCATGCAAATGAACCCCCTCTGGGAAATGTGCAAGACAAACAAAATAACAGAGAAGGAGTGCAAAGGAAGCCTTTGTTTGGAGCAAGACATTCCATGCGTTTCCCAATTCTTATCTGAGCAGCTGTCACTCTTTAATAGTCTGTAAATAAAATTGAAACCAGTAAATGTTGTAGATTGCAGGGATGATATTGTGCATCATTTGGTAAGATCAACGCTAAAATCGTGTTCTTAAAGGGATAGTTCACTTCGAAATAATTTTTTTTCTGTTTTATCTTGCCTCAAGTGCATCCAAGATGTAGGTGTCTTTGTTTCTGCAGTATTTTCAATTTTGATATTTTTAGATTAAACCGTTCTTGTCTGTCAGTCATGTAATGCAGGTCTATGGTCACCACCTCAAAGAGCATGCACAGAGAAGTCCAAATTAAACATGATTTAATGACTCGTAAATGTAAGTACACACTGATGGCCTAAGACACGAAACGAGCGGTTTGTGTGAGAAAATGAAATGTATTTAAATAGATTTTACCTCTTGTAACCACAACCACGTCCAAGTGATTTGAGGATGCGGACGGTTTGTGGCTATAAAAGGTAAAAACGAAATAAATACTGTTCGTTTTCTCACACAAACCGCTCGTTTTGTGTCTTAGGCCATCAATGTGTACTTACATTTATTACTCATTAAATCATGTTTAATTTGGACTTCTCTGTGCATGCTCTTTGAGGTGGTGACCATAGACCTCCATTATATGACTGACAGACAAGAACGGTTTAACCTAAAAATATCAAAATTGAAAATACTGCAGAAACAAAGACACCTACATCTTGGATGCCCTTGAGGTAAGATAAAACATACCAAAAATTAATTTCAAAGTGAACTATCCCTTTAATATATTATTAATGTTTATTTTTATTAAAAGTACACTTAAAACAAGATCAATTTACAATTTATTTTAGCTTGTTGGATTGGCATTTCTTTTCTTTGATTATTTTTTTCAAAACACATTTTTTTTTGCCCTGTGTTTCACATAAGATGTGAGTGTTTCTGAAGAAGTCTGTAATAGCTAGTAAAATGATGGTGTGATAAAAAGTCTTTCTCTCGCTCGCTCGCCCTCTTCATCATCAATAAAGTTTGTATTAAGTTTGTGTGTGTGTGGTTTGCATTGGTGTGTCTGTTTAACTGTGCAAACACTGTGGCATTCTGCGTGCTTGCAGACGTATCATCGACACACTGACGCAGGCACAAAATCTCACAAGCTCGAATGCACAGGAATATACTTCAGAAACGCCTCTATACTTCAGAAATGTCTCTACCGTAACATTTGCATATATATAAAAAAAGAAAAGAAGTATACATGAGCATCTTATTAGTATCAGATTAGGGTCTCTTTTCGCCTCTGAATTTGAATTTTGGGAAGTCATGTCCAGGTCATATATCATAAAAATAAAATATATATTCTTTTCATAATTATTTATTTTTGTATTATATATTTTATATTATATATTTGAGTGAAAAGTTACCAGGAAATCCCTCCGTTACATTTTGCATGAACTTACTTTTACCATTTATTTTTAACCTATCAGAACACAGACCTTAAAAATAAGAACTAAAACTGTTAGAAATGATTTAAAACAATGTAAATTAAATTACTAGTAGGCCTATGTATTAATTGTGCATTGCACATTCAATACTGGACAGAAATTGAATAAAAAGCCATTGATTCGCCTCTGATGATCATATGCATGA